AGAGTACCCTATAGTATTATTTAATTCAGTTTTTAATTATTGCTTTTTATTAAATTTACTCATTAGTATTGCTTCCATATTACCAATCATATTAATGAGTTGGATGTTACTAATCAGTAATTTTCTGCTAAAAGAAGAACAATAAATACCACTTGATTCCAAACATTTTTTCCCTCAATTGTCTTCTTTCTACTAATTCTTGAATTGTTACCGAGAGCTTAGAGCTCTTGTTTTCTTTTTTTTTCAACATGATATTATTATTTTCAGATATCCAACACCTAATAAATATAACTTAACTACTCAAATTTTACAATGTACAAATGTGTCAAGAATAGTGTGAATTAGATCAAATCTGTCAAGGTTGTTATCCTTTCATAGGCAAAATATATGCTCTTGATCATTGTTTTTCAAACTGAATTTCAATTTTGAGAACTAGAGCCTAGTGTAGGAAGGTAAGTACAAAAATGGTAGGGATCCCTTCCCTTCTTTTACTCACCAGTTTATCCTTGTTCAATCGGACAGATTCCATTTTTATCTGTTTTATGTGTATCCTTCTCAATGTAAGATTGTGCTTGAGCAATCACTCAATCAATCAATCAATAAACATTTTTGAGCCAAAGGACATAAAATTGTTTCCTCATGATCTTTAAGTTAAAAAGTAATACTCATCAAATCAAGCATATTATCTTCGAATGTGGTTGGGTCTTACCTAAGACCCAAAGGTAAAGACTAATTTCTCGAAACAACCCAGGAACTGGAATCAACCGCGAGAAGTGTTAGAAAATGGAGCAAATTACACAACAAGATGTGATTATTCTGTCCGATTTGTCCATGCCACATCACAATGTTTTAAGCAAACCAAATACTTATCTTTTGTATCCAGCTTCAGCCGTCACATCCTTCTCTTCTGTAACCTACAGAGCTATGGAGTGGGGCAATTATTCCATGTATGCCGACTTTGTGCTCCTGGGCCTGTTCAGCAGCACCCACTTCCCCTGGCTTCTTTTTGCTCTCATCTTCCTGATCTTTGTCATCTCCATAGCCAGCAACGCAATCATGATTGCCCTGATCCAGGTGGACGTGCGCCTACACACCCCCATGTACTTCCTGCTCAGCCAGCTCTCCCTCATGGACATCCTATACATTTCTACTATTGTGCCCAAGATGCTGGTTGACCAAATGGTGGGCCAGAGGGCTATTTCATTTGCAGGATGCACTGCCCAACATTTCCTCTACTTGACCTTGGCAGGAGCTGAGTTCTTCCTCCTAGGACTCATGTCCTATGACCGATACGTTGCCATCTGCAACCCTCTGCGCTATCCTGTCCTTATGAGCCGAAGAGTCTGCTTGTTGATTGTGGTGGCAGCCTGGCTGGGAGGGTCTATAGATGGCTTCCTGCTCACCCCAGTCACCATGCAGTTCCCTTTCTGTGCCTCTCGAGAAATCAACCACTTCTTCTGTGAGGTCCCTGCCCTTCTGAAGCTCTCCTGTATAGACACGTCAGCCTATGAGACAGCCATGTACGTCTGCTGCATCATGATGCTCCTCATCCCGTTCTCTGTCATCTCAGCCTCTTACACAAGGATTCTCATCACTGTTTACAGGATGAGTGAGGCAGAGGGGCGGCGAAAGGCAGTGGCCACTTGTTCCTCGCACATGATAGTTGTCAGCCTCTTCTATGGGGCTGCCATGTACACATATGTGCTGCCTCACTCCTACCACACACCGGAGCAGGACAAGGCTGTGTCTGCCTTCTACACAATCCTCACCCCCTTGCTCAACCCTCTCATCTATAGCCTCAGGAACAAGGAAGTCACAGGGGCCCTACATAAGGCTCTGGGGAAGTGCTTTTCCTCAGGAAGGGTGACCGCCTTCTAAAGAAACTGTATTTGAGTCTAGAGGCCTAAAGAAAAGGATGAAGAACTTTGGATTTAAATATTCTCTGCCTGGAAACTTAACAAGTCACACATGTCAGAACCATGGGCTATTCTTGGCATTTGGAAAGGTGATTAAGGGATTTTGATGATTTGCTCGTGTTGTGAAAGGTCTGAGGGTTCAGCATGGATGGTTTGGGATGGAGTGAGGGCAAAGTTGTGGTCTCAGGAGCCACTGCTTCCCACCCAAGGCCATGCAGGTGGCTGTTTCCCACTGTGGCCAATCATGGTAAAGGAGCCACTCACCTTCAGGCTTTTTACCACTTTCTCTCTTTAGACTCCATAAATTGACCTCTGCAAAGAAATCAACTTTTGATAATATTTGATTGCATTTCAAATGTTATTTCAATATCTAATTGATTTTTCAACAAGTGATGCTTTTGATCTTCCACATTTAATTAGATCAAGCCAATGTCAGCATCATTTGTTGAAACATAATTGGTTTGACTCCATATAATTAATTTTCTCTACTGAATTCCATCAACATGGCTTGTAGACACAATAGTACTCATCAAACTTTGAGGGAAACCAGCACCTTTATTTTTTCTCCATATAGTTTTGTTAAAGTCATCCACAAACATTGAATTCAATATTTAAAAAAATATTTTAAGGCATTGGTAAACATGGATGGCTCCTACGTTTTTCTAAACCTCATTGCCCAGCCCCTTAATGATGTCATTTAATGGGAGAAACCTATTTCAATCACATCTTTTTCACTGTATTTAAATTGTCTAATGGCCTCATAAATTTAATTTTTAATGATTCCTATGCAAAAAAAAAATGAGACTTTTCTAAGAGTTAAGGATTGATTTATTCTTTTGGAAATTAATATATGGTACTTTTTTCTATTTTTATAATATTCTAACTTACTTTAATTTATTTAATCATTTTAATAATTGCATATTAACTAGTATTCTTTTAAAGTAGAGAAAATTATGTTTATCTCTTCCCTTTTCAATGTTTTTCCCTACTTGACTAAATTCATTCTGTCCCCAGCCTTTCCATCTTCCTACTTTTACTTCTTAGAATGTGCTTATCTTATATTTCATTATTTAAGAAGGAAATATTTTGCATTATAAAGAACAAAGTATAATTATATCTGAGCTCATTTTAAAATCTGTGAGCACTGGGGTGGTTGAATGTGTAGAGAAGGCAGCTAGGCGGTGCCACATGTGTCAGAAAACTCCATGCTTCTGCACTCTGGGAAAAAGAGAAACACATCATTATAAAGCTTTCAAGGGCACTTTCTTTTTCTATATTGCATTTTCAAACAGGACAGATGGGTGAAAGATGACATTGTTTCTTACCCTTAAATGTAGGCATGTCCTATTTTCTCTCAATAATACTCAGACTGACCAGAAGTTAGGGTCAATTTTTAGTCTCCACCATTGTGTCCTGATCTAAGATTTCTCAACTCAGTCTTTCACTCTCTTTGAACTTTATTTTCTGACACTTGTGTCATGGAGAGAATGACTTAGACCAGGATTGGAAGTTTGGGCCATTTTCTGATTTATGGTTAGTAAATATGACTTATAAATGTATTCTGGATAGGAAAGAAATGATGAGATTAAGAAACATACATTCTCATTATAGAGAAGCTTTGCCATTATAACTCTTATTAAGCTCTAATTGTAGATAAATTTATTATGTCAGGTTAAAAAATTGATTTTTTGAACTTCTGTTTCTCAATGTATTAAATTAAGATATCATAAATTACTTCTTACCTCAGAGGTATCATTTTAAACATATATGAAATTACTGGTGCAAAGCAACTTCAGCTTTGGAAGGTGCTATATGCCACAAGGTATTATTATAACTAAGTCAACACCACAGAGAAGGGAAATCTGCCTGTCTCATCCACTTCTACTCCAGGAGTGATTTTGTCTGTTGCTGAAGCAGTGCTCTTTCTTGCAGAACTGAGGTTGCAGAGGTGATCAACGCCTTCTTAAGATCTTTTATTAAACATATGGAAAATGTTTCAAGAACTCCTGCTAGTCTGAGTGGTCATCACACATCCAAAACTATATGGAGAAAAAATAAAGGTGCTGGTTTCCTCCAAAGTTTGATGAGTGCTATTGTGTCTACAAGCTATGTTGATGGAATTCAGTGGTCAATAATAGTCATTGGCTCCAGTGTATCATAAGGGGCTGGTTTTCATAAGGTCACTTCACACTGATTTACATCTAACTTTAGAAATTAATAACAGGCAGAAACATCTTAACATGAAGAAAGCATTTTCTTGGAGAGAAACTACTCAGACAGCTGTTTAGGGCTTGACCCCTCAGTGAATCCAAAGGGCCATGTGCCTCCTGGCATATTTCTCATGTGTGTTTGTCCCCCCTCCACCACCACTCCAGTTTAGTTTTGGACGTACAATTGGCACTCGAATAATAGAAATTAGATAAATGAGATGAATGTCTCATGTCCTTTCAATGCCAGTCCACCCTCTCCCCTCTAGAGCAGTGTTAGCAAACCTGCAGCACATGTGCCGTTAGTAGGCTCTATTTTCCCAATTTAAGTGGCAATTTTTCTCCTTCTTTCTTCTACTCCTTCATTTTCTCTTCCTTGATCTGTACCCCTTCCTCTTCCATTCCTGACAGACAACTCTACCTCCTAACCCTTTTTTCTTTTCTTTTTTTCTCTTTTGCTCTTGCACTTTGTCCATTCCCATTTTTTCCCACTATTTTGACTTCTCCAGCACCCAGTGTATACAGAGCTGATGCTGTTCTTCCCCAGTGCTGGATGGGGTTTTAGTTATCCCAGATTAGCAGGTTACCCAGGGACAGGGAAATTTGAGGGGCTTTTAAGATTGTCTTTTTAAGTGTATTATATTGGCCATGACATGAGTGAGGGCAGTGATGTGGCTACTGTGCAGAGATTTGTAATGAAAAGTCACTTAACACATGTGTCTGTCTTGGTCACATGCACTTAGCTCCAGCCGGAGGAAGGATTTACATCATGAATAATGTAGACGAACCATCTATATCAGCTTCCTCTGTACTGTGCTCAGTCTTTAGTTCTGATGCATTGGTACAAATAATGTCTAGTCTAAAACACCATGGAGTGTCGGAAGCCAGCCGACCAAGTCAAACCGGGTACCTGAATGGGGGAGCGGGGACTGAGAAAAAAGAGAAGACAGACAGGGTGCAGGAGGGAGAACAGATCTCACAACTGTCTCTCCGAGTTTATTTCTTATCCTTCTTTTAAACACAATCTGTTCCTTTGTGTATCCCAAAATAACATAATAAAAGTAACATCCTGAAGATCGAGGTACAATTGACACTTCCTTTGACACTCCCTTCAACACTCCCTTTGGCTATACTTAATCTTCTTCTTCCTGGAATTCCACAGAACCAGCCTTTTCTTTTTTATGCAAGCAGGCCTCCCGAGATAATCCATGCACTCTTTTGAATTTGGGGAGCTTTAGCTCCCTACAATGGAGGAGTTGGTATAAAAATTGCATAGATGACAGAGGCTCTGTTCATCCCTCTGGCAACCAAATCAAAGTTGTGACAGAAACAAAGAGCAAACAGCAAGGAAAAATCACCTGAGATCTAGAAAAACAAGTCATACAACTAGAGAGAAATCTAAGAAATCAGGCCAAAGATGCAAGGATGCCCTGTCCCAAGCAGCGGAGTGGGATCAAGACTGTGGCAACGGCAATGGCAGACACCTCTTAAAGGGGCTGTGTCTGTGAGCAGACTTTCCGGTGATGGACCTGCATCACTCTGAGCAACAATGCCAGTTTGGACACGCAGGGACTTACAGGGGGACACTGAGTTGTTGGAGTGAAGGTTGAGGCAAGACTCGCTCTGTACAGAAGTGCCAGCAGTATCCATTGCTCCTCTCTTGAGCCCTCCCTTCTCTTAGTGTGTGAATACAGTGCTGCCATAGAAGAGACATCATTAAACTGGATGACAGAGATTGCTCATCCCAGAGGATTCTTTGAAACTCCACCTCCCCCAACTTGTGGCTCCACCCAAGCCACACGCAGGTGTATCCTCTGCAAGTCAAGTGCTCCTTGCTGAGCAGTGCCTGGACTCACACTGGAACCAGCTGGCCTCGGTTTCTGGTGTGGCCTTTTGAGGCAACTATAAGCACAGAATCTGTGGATTGCTTGCTGAATCTTAACAGGTGGCCCCAGAGGGGCACAGACTTTGGCTAAATTTGGCCTGCAGCTGAACCCCTCTCAGGGCTGTGCCACTGGACATCTACTTCACAAATCCACACTAATAAGACTGAGAGACTTAGGTGCTTTGCTTAGTACATAGAAATAGACCTAG